CCTACCATGCCTTAAGATAACAGTCTGTTCTAGTCATCCAGGAAACTGTTCATTTTCATATTTTGTAGTCAAACAAGATGCATTTTTTTTTAAACTGCAAATGTGCCCCCTATTTGCTTCCCCATGTTATTTTAAAGTTAGATTAGGGTTTCTACTCATCTGTGTCTGCCCGGATCTTTCTAAAGCATTACAACCTAGACCTTCATATCTTCTCTAAGTATGGAGTTATTAAATATTGGGGGACTTGCAATCCTTTCAAAACACAGCTCTTGGCTGATTATCAGCTGGTGCCCAAACAGCCTGGTGAGCTCATGATTCTGCAACAGATGTCGAGAAAGACGATGCGAACTAGAAGACTTGTAGTCATTCTTACTACATCGGTGCCCCTCTGGTGTTTCCATCCCTATCTCACTTTACAACTCCAGTGTAAAAAGCTTTAAAATTAACCAGCACACAGGGATACGAAGTTTTATCTTTGTTTTATAAAATGACCTAAAGGACACTGATTTTATAACTAACCTTCTCATCTTTAAATGACAATTTAAGTCAGCAGTCAAGTTATAAAAGCTGCTACAAATTCAGTTTCCTCATTAAAACCCACCTGACCTGAGCTGTGTTGCTTGCAAGCCATGTTTAAAAACATGCTTCAAGTGGAGCACATACCTTAGTAAAAGTGATCCTGTAATTGAAAACCTAGGTCATCTCCCTTCTATCACTATTGTATCAGAACTGAGTATAAAGTCCCAATCTTGAAAATAAATGACAGCAAATTCTGGGGTCTGCCTACTTAGAGACACTTGTGGGACCAGGGGCCTTAAGCTGCAAGCTCTTTGAGGCCAGCACGATTCGCTTTGCATCTCCGACACGCCCAGCAATTCTTCAGGCTCTCAACAACACCACCTTCCTGTTTCTTCTTATTCTTGGCACAAACTATTTTGAAACACTGCCAAGAGAGCTTAGAGTAGTCAGAAACCACAAAAGAACCAAAGCCCTTTCTGGTTTAAGAGTTTTCCACACACTGAAAGTGCAGGGATTTTAAGTTTAGTAGATTGGAAGCAGCATAATACATTTTCTTCTACTTTTTCAACTTAGAAATCCTCTTGTACAGTTACACAGACAGCACCTCAATCACGTGCAAAAAGATCTAAACTGAAACCGGTCCAATAATTAACATGCTTTTTGCTGGACATCCAGTACTGCTTGTCAAATACCAGTATTTTTTTCAATGCAAAAATGTAAGTAGATTTTCAATTAAGGGTTTTATCATTTTGCTCTTGGGAGTCAGCGAGGTAACCCCAAGGGCTCTTGCTAAAATCCTTTTTGCACTGTGGAAGGGGGAGGGGAATCATTTCTTTCTCTTGTTTCTAAGCCATTAAGACCCAAATTCTGCAAACACATTTGAAGGTTCACTCGTGCAATTAGTCCCACTGGCTTCCCATATATGGGAACCCACTGCAGTTAGCCACGATCTTACGCATTTGCCGGATTTAGGGACACGAGCTGTTTTTCATTCTGTGCACTACACAAAAAAGCTGTTTCAATAATACTAGCTGCTCACCTTGTCCGAATCCTGGCATCTCCCAAAAAAGAGAGCTTTCAGATATAATTAAATTTTACTATTTTATTTGTGAAAAAACTACAAGCAGAATTCATAAATAGACATTTCTATTTAAAGCAGGAAAATGATAAAGTGGCTTCTAATAACAGTCGTGCACATGCCAGTAACAGGAATATATTAACATCTTTTATTTGCTAGACAAAGAGCAGTGTCCAATATAAATTTCCCGAAAACATTTAAGACCTGTGAATTTCTGACCAGTTCACAAAACCACCATTGACACTTTAGCATGAAGATTAAAACAAACCTAACAGGACTGTCAGCTCTAAAGACTTTACAGAGCGGAGAAACTTTCAAAAGCGTTATACAAGCTGTCTTTCTGGGCAAATGAAAAATAGAGCTCGTATAATACATTAACATAAAAATCCACAAGATAAGATTATGTTTTGACATACTTAAACAAGCATTCTATATTTGTCTCCAACAAACAAAGCTAAGGAAATAATGTAACCATCTTTACACAGTAAATTAAGGTTACAAGTCATACACAAGAACAGAACTGCTTGCGCATTAAAAACTGTTCAGCTCCATTGTCATACTCTAAATGTTGGCTCTTAAAACCATTTTCGGTTACATACAAGCAAAGGTTATTATATAGTCAGCAATTAATAAATTTTCAATAATTTACGTTTATGGTAGCTTAAAAAAGTAGACTGAGAACGATCTTGATAAGGCAGGTGAAAACATCTCAGTGGAAATCAACTCACAGAAGCTACTGCCAGGTTTTAGATCTGTCCAATTTGAAACAACCAATGTGTTCCAATCAAAATAAATAGCCTTTTGTGTTAAAATGCTTCTACTCTTCCTTTTTCCTTTGCATGACTATGTCAAACTGAGCAAGTCAGGCAAGCTATGTTGGTGTGTAGGTGTGTCAGGGTGTGTGTGTATGTGTGTTTGTGTGTGTGCGTGCACGCGCATGTGTGTGTAAAAGTTGAAACTTGAAGACATAACACTGTGCTTTACTTACCTGCTTTCTGTGCCACTGAATACCAAGCATATCTGGTCCATCCTCTACACTAGTGTTTTTTGTTGTTAGGTTTTTTTTGTTTGTTTTTTGTTGGTTTTTTTTGTTTTTTGTTTTTTTGTTTTTTGTTTTTTAAACATGCTCCCTACAGATAGCAGGTTAAAACTCAAAATGCAGAGCGTGGAGCGAATTCCATTTCCAGATACATGCCTTAGGGGTATCATCAATTCTAGAAATTAAGTGTAAAAGTAAACACTATCCTTCAAATCCACAACACAACAGCTAAGAAAGCGGCCCGGGTAAGTTCAAATGCTTAGCTAGCAATTTCTACTAAATGCAGAGTTACAGTTCACTTGTTGCAAAGTAATTTTCCACTCTCTCTTTACAATATCCTATTTTATAAAGGAGGCACACCAAAAAAGAAAAAAAGATCAAAAGATGTCATTGAATCAGTAGCCTATGAGTAGCTGGTTACTGTGTGTTAAAGCTTTTTCAACTAATCTACAAGGTCCATTCACTTTATACGAAACAAATTTCCTGGTAGACATCATGCTTTTATGCACAAATTCCCAGATCCAGCAAAGAACTTAAATATGTGCATAACTTTAAGCACCAGCATAGTCTTTTTTGAAACTAGGGGGAGAAGCAAATGCTTGTCTCCCAGCTTTGCTGGATCAGGGCCAAAATGCATGCAAGCCTAACTGATTACGGTTCATTTATAAAGCAGTGCAAAATATACAACTTCAGGGGCATCTTCAAAAAGTCTCTCTTAAAAAATTATTCCAATACATCTCAGTAAAATAAATAAATATGGCTGACCAGTTTACCCTCCCTGAGACCCTTAAAGGAATAGTAAAAACTGGAAAAGGAATGTCTTTGCAATATCCCACTAATGTTAAAATGTGGATCGAGAAATTCATAGTATTAAAACTATGTATATTATATTTTCTTGATGCTCATAGGGAGCATCTGATTTCCTTTGGTTCTTCGATAAATACTTTAAAAATGTTGTTTAAAAAGGTAAATACAGCCTACATTTCCAATATAAGCAGAATTAAATGGGGGGTGTCCATGTTAAGGTGTTCACAATAAAAAATGCAGTTGCAAAGGCCCTGCTTTTTACCATACACCTTCAAGCACAGCTTGTAATGAATTAGTTAAGTACAGCATACTTTGACCGTACGTGTGAAAGGAACCTATGTCTGCTACTCAAAACCACGCTGATCTGAAAACAAAAGTTTAGCTCAGTTGCCTCCACATACAGAAATGATTTTTGCCAAGCTAATAATTCGCAACGGAAGAAGCTAGCACCAGGTTACTACTAAATGGCCCTCTTTCCAAACATGGCACCCAAAAAAGGGTATCCCAATGCTGTTGAATAAAGCCACAGACTCTGTGCCTGAAATTACTGCCAAGCACTCTGGAGCCACACAAATAAGGATAAAAAGCCAAGAGAGCTCCAAAAGTTTAAAAATAAAGCAAACGATATTTGTTTCACCTCTTCAGACTAGTGTTCTAGCAGGCTAACACCTAGAAGAAAAACTATAAAGCAAGGCTAACAGACCAAGAAATGCAGTCTGAATAGCTTTAGAGCTAGAATGAAAGAGATACTGGCCATCCGTTTGAGCTACACTTGTTGCTCACTTGCCAGCCCGAAAGCTTTTCACAACTTTAGCTCCCACAGCAGGACAGCTAAACATGTCCCAGCACTGACAAACCTCACATGTCGTCACTGGATGATCCGCTGTTCAGAAGTCACTTTTGGAATCCAAACCCAACTCAAACACAAAATAATCCCCGTAACAGCATGGAAGGAGACAGACATGAAAGGGCTGGATCAAGGAAGAACCCTGAAACAACAGATGGGAACAAGTAACTATTTCTTACATCAGCCCCCCAAAAAGGCTTCTGGCCCTACAGTTCTCTCTTGCCTTGAATCCTAACACAAAAAGCTACTCCACAGACTTTTAAAGTTAACGCAGTTATTGATGCAGGTCTGGAAAAATGGATGGAATTCAAAATTACACAACGTTGTATTTTTTGTGCAATTGGCTATGCAAAAAGATAGTGAAATAAACAGGTTACCGGCATACGCATGAAACTGCGGCATTCAGCTTAGTTTTGAATGCACCCACTTGAATCAGGACGTGAACTTGTGATTTGTCAATCTGAGTTATCCTACTGGGAATGCGTGCTATCTGGAGCAGTCTTCCAACAACAAATCACAACACTCATATAAAAAAAATTAACAAACGGAAGATCAAAACTATTTATCCAGCCAAAGCAT